CTCTCTCTCTCTCCGCCTCGGCAACAGCTCCTGTGGGTTCAACGCGCGATACTCCCAAGTGATATCCTAAATAATAGCGTACAATTCGGGCGGTGGAGGTCGAGAGGAGGGGAGATGAAACCAGAGCTGGCCATCCGAGGACGGGGCCGCGGATCGTCAGAGCGCGAGGAGATCGCGTCGGGTGAAGAGGGATGAGAAAAGCAGTCGGAGGGGGGTATCGGGAGAGGATGTCCAGTATGTCAAGAGCTGGGAGGAGGCGGGGGAGGAGGGAGGCCAGCGAGATGAAGAAAACTTCGAGAGAGGGGGAGGGTAGGAGGAAAAGGCAGCAGGGGGGTAGAGGGAATTGATCTGAAGATGGTGTAGAGGTTAATCGCAAAAGCAGGAGGTGGAAGAGAAGGAGCAGAAGGAGAATGTGGAGGAGAGGAGGTGGACAAGCCCCTTTTTGTTCCCTTACTTAACCTCTGGTCTACTATTTCAGGCCAGTAAGACGATCAAACGGCCAACATAACTTGGCATAAGCTTGCCGGCAGGGGAGAGGGGAATGGCGAGCAAATGAAGATCAGAGAAGGACAGGGGGGGAGGAGGGGGGGGCAGGAGGAGGGGAAAGAGGAGGAGGAGGAGCAGAAGCAGAAGGACAACGTAATAACAGATACTTACCTTAGTCAATGAAGTCCTCGCGATTTTTCAATGCTCCAAAATGGTTAGAATAGGTGGGATCCGGCGGGTTCAAACACTTGTGCAGCTGTCGCCGCTAGCCATTCTCCATAAGGAATAGAATACCATGTATAACACTTCTTACGACCATAAACACCGCGCGCTTATCCTCTCGATCCTGCATAACTCTCTACGAACGGTGCGCAGTCTTGTGCGACGATGAGAGCGGAAGGCTTCAGCGACACGTGAGACGCTCACGCTAGGGTGAGGCAAGGCCGTGTTCCCCCGCCCGTGTGTGGAGGACCCGCCCGTGTGTGGAGGACCTGTAGCAGGCGGGAAAGTCTTTTGGAGGGGAGATGTGTTCGTCAAAACATTTGTTTTTGCGCGGGAGATACGTTCCACGCTTCGTCAACACGTGGGACGTCCCCCAGCGACGTGTCGCGCTCACGCTACGGGCCTCGCCGCACCACTGTCGAAAATGCAATTTTCGACAGTTTCTCTTCGCCACACAGGCTGTCGAAGTCGGAGACGGGAAAAAAATTCTCCAGTTGTCAGAGCGTGCTTCTCGACAGCTCCTGTCGAAAGTTGTTGAATCCCCAGCCTGCTACTCCCATGCTTTCGAGGCTCGCCACACAGGCTGTCGAATGTCGAAAATTTTCGACAGGTGTCAGTAATTTTTCGACAGCCCCACACTCGACAATTTTGCCCCCTATTGCCACACAGCCTGTCGAGAGGTGAAATTATCGAAAGTAGGCAAGTCGACACCGCCTTTCGACAGGTGCTGTGTGGCCAAGGCAGTGGACTGTAGGGAGTTGTTACATGGATGAATTTATGCCCGCAAGCGGACCAGGACAGCAACTGTTGACTACATACGGACAAACAGGCCACGGTTGTCAGGGAGCAGTCTCTCACAACACAAATTCGAAAGCAATTTTCGAATTTCAAAAGCCCGGCGGGGCACTGTCGAATTTCTGTCACCTGCAGGCGGGAGGAAACGGTTGCTGGAGGGCGGCTGTCGAAAGGACCATTCTGACACCTGTCTAAAGTTTTTTGAGCAGCAATTCTTCGAAAGTCTGTGTGGCGATGCCAAATTGTCGAAAACCCAGTTTTCGACAGCCTGTGTGGCGAGCCTCTTCGACACTCCTCGGCTGCGCCGTCGACTTTTCTTCGAAATTCGGTGAGGGGGGGAAGGTCGGGATGGACTAATGCTTGTCGTACCCTCTGGCGCGTTCGTCTTTTTCCATCTTGCATTCACAAGTGCATGCACTCTACAGTGCTGTGTGGCTAAAGGGGGGCAAACTGTCGAATGGAGGCTGTCGAATTTGTTCTGACAGCTGTCGATTTTTTTCGCCTTTCGACTGTGGTGCGGCGAGGCCCTACGATAGGGTGAGGAAAGGCCGTGCTGTTAGTTTACTAGTCTGTGTCACGGTGTGTGACTGTTAGGAATGTTTTGATTCTATTGTATACGGACAGTGGGATGATGCATCCCGCCATTTAGGGCAGGGAGCAGTAAGGCTCCATTTTCTCATTGGTTTAGAGTTGGTTTAGGGGTCCCGTGCCGAATGGAGGGAGAGGCAATAGGGTGTAGTTTAGTGACCTCTTTTTTATGGCTTAGAATACTATTAGTCTTTTAGCTGCTCATCTACAAAGAGTCTCACGGCGACTCCAAGGGTGTTTATGGCCCTCCCTCGGGTGGTCCGTGGTCATGCATAAAGGACAGATGTTTTTATTCTATTTTATACGGACCGTGGGATGATGCATCCCGCCATTTAGGGCAGGGAGCAGTAAGGCTCCGTTTTCTCATTGGTTTAGAGTTGGTTTAGGGGTCCCGTGGGGAATGGAGGGGGAGACAATGCGGTGTAGTTCAGTGACCTCTTTTTTACGGCTTAGAATACTATTCGTCTTTTGGTTGCTCACCTACAGAGTGTTTATGGCCCTCCCTCCGGTGGTCTGTGGACATGCACAAAGGACAACTATCATGGCGGTGTATCTTTCCATGTTCTAGCGGAAGATTCACTGTCGTTTTGCACATGGTGACTGGAACTCTGGAACTGCCTAATATGATTTTTATTATTATCATTATTTAAAAGGTAAGCTATGTTCTTCTCTCATCTATTTCATCTTTCCTGGTAGTACGCACTATCTCATCCTCTCACCTGAGGATGAGATATGATAATTTGTTGGAATTTCTAAGCTGTGCTATTCTTTTTTTTTTTTTTTAACAAGAAAAACACTTTCATTATATAGGAAAAAGGGGGAGGTCGGGAATCCCTCCACAAACAACCCGGAAGACAATTACTCGGACGATAACCCAGCTTAGGTTCGGGTGTTGGGCCAAGATGTCCAGTAGCAGAAATGGCCAATGCAAGATCGTTGCCCTGACAAAAGGCCCAACCCTTGGAACAAAAAAGTCCACAAGGCCTGAAAGCCGACACAATACAAAAACAAACCCATCTGCATCCACCCACATACCTGAATACTATCTCTACCTTCAAAAATCAAACCAAGAGAGAAACAACAATTTAAGAGCTGCAAACTACCTACCTACATGTCCACCTACAGGCGGTGGAGGAAAGGGATCTAAAAGAAAACCCTCAGTTCAAGTGACACTCCCTCCGCTACACAAAAACCCACTGCCTGCCTCCTGCGGCAAACCAACAACCGAGCAGTCCAGGTTGGTCGAACAAGCCAGGCAAGTCCTAACTACAGAGAAGTCAAGGCAATTAACACAACTGCCTACATAACTACATAGCCTGTGGGAGAGAAGACATACAATGGAACCTCAATACAGTTGATGCTTCCTCCACTAAACAACACTCCTTCCTGTCTCCTGTGATCCAGCCAACAGCCGAACTAACTGGGCTGGTAGGCCGCTTTCTCATTTCAAAACCCATGCATCTAGCTGTAGTCTGGACTCCGTATCAATTGTTGCCAACGAGTTGCCCAAGCACCAAATAGACCTGAACCATTGGAGATCTTGAAGAGAGGATTTGGATCTAGACACTCTACGTTTCCAGTCAGCTTGAATGGAGCGACGCAGCAGAAGAGAGACGGTACTTTTGATCTGCTTGTTTGACCACTCATTGTCATTGAATAACTGATCGTTGCGGCATTGCCAAATGACAGAAAAGATAATAGCACGAAGGACCTGGGCCACGTAGCCCCAGCTTGAATGCTTGCTGCAGTTCTCTGGAATGCCTCCTAGCAGGGTCCATTCTTTGTTCCATGGAAAGGTCGTCCTTGAGATGCGGTCCCAGTGGGTAATAAACCATTTCCAAATCTTATCAAAAGCAGGGCAGTCCCACCACAAATGAACGGTAGATTCGAACGCCCAGTTGTACCTGCAGCATTTGAGGTTCACTGTTAGATTCGAACGCCCAGTTGTACCTGCAGCATTTGAGGTTCACTGTTAGGTTTTTTTGTGCAAGCCAAACTGTTGACGGAGTAGCAACCATGGAGACCAGCCACAGTATGGACGCTTGTCTTTGACATGGGATAAGCTTGAGCTGCTCCCAGCAGCATAGCGCCGACTCGATCCGAGCCGGATCCCCCTCCAGGTCCATCTCAAGTAGTTGCAACCAACGAGACCTGGTTGTAACTAAGGGGCATTTCAGTGGTTTCAATAATGACTACCCCAGTTTCAAAGAATATTCAGTGAGATTAGGATAGATACCTTTGTGCCCCGAAACAGTCCATTCCCAGAGATACGGATCTAATTTCAGCTGAAGAATAGGGTGCCCTTGACCGAATACCCTGTATTCAGGTTCAGAGTCTCCCACCGCTGACAGCAGTACCCGGACTTGAGAGAGAGGGAGCCCTAATTGAGGTTGAGGGTTATATTCATCTATGATCAGAGTTTGAGAAGGAAGTACCCAATAAGCCTGCAAGACTCGTTCGCCACCTGGCAAGTGTTCAATGAGACGCAAGATTAAGGGGGATGCAGGCTCTGAGGAATACCATGTGCCCGGGGGATCTAGAGATTCTTAGAAAAGCAAATTTTTCCATTCCTTGGGAATTGCAGCAATAATAGATTGTTTCTTCAGTTGTAGTTGTCTGACCTGCCCCAAAATTGTTCTAAGGGCAGCATCCTGTTTCCAATCCCCAGTGAGGTAATCCCACATATTTTCAATCCTAAGCACACCTCTTTCTATCCACGACCGCCCAAAGCTACCTCGTGACGTGTCAGCGGTAAACGAAAGGTCATTAGACAAAGTGATCCTCGGATTCTCAAAAAGTGGTTGCAGCAGAACTTTCGATTTGGTAACTCGCTCTTTCCACCCTTTTGGAAGAAGTTTCTTCCAAGCCCTGATGATTGCCATCCAAAATGGTGAGTTGATCCTCATGTTTAAGAAAGACCTGAGAAAAAGACACGTCCATACCTCCCTAGGTCTAGCTAAGTTTCATTCCTGTGAGAGGATTTGTTCTGCTAAGATAACCCAGTGGTGTGGGTTTTGGGCCAAACTGACCTTAATCACCCATACAGACAACATTGACGAGTTTTGTCTCTGAGGATCCAACAGTCTCAGACCGCCTTCTGATATTGGAGAACATATCATTTCCCGTGCCACTTTGGACATAAAGGAGTCCCCTTCCTCGGCATACGGTTTCCATATAAACCGGGCGCATCTATGACGGACCGTGGAGTAGAGAGTCGGACCCAAGCCCCGCACTTTCCCTATAAACCATAGGAGGCCAAGGAGTGCACTGTTAATCACCATGGCCCTAGCAAAGAGGGACAGATGAGGGGCATGGCCCCAAGAGGAAATACGTTGGATCGATTTCTGCAACAAGATATTGTTTTGGTCTACCGCTGCAGATATCAGTGCAATCTGGACTCCTAAAAAACGTTCTGAACAGTTCTTATCTATACGATCCATGCCCCACTGAACAACCAAGGAGAAGTGTGCAGGTAGAAAGAACACCGACTTATGCCAATTGATGGCCGCTTTCGAGAGGGAGGCATACTCATTCAGGCAGAGTTTCAAAGCATTTAGGGACTGAGAAGAGTTATGTGAAATGGCAAAGAGATCATCGGCAAGAGTTTTCACCTTGAGAGGAGTAGGGCTAATTGGCAGACCTCCAATGGAGGGGTGGGCACGAATGTTATTCAACACATTCTCCATCTGAACAGCAAACAAGCGAGGGGCTAGAGGACAACCCTGGCGCAGGGAGCGGGTGAGCGAAAATTCCTCCGAGAGACAACCGTTGATCATCACTGCAACAGTAGATCTAGTATACAGTGCTATGACCCATTTGCAAAATTTTTGTCTAAATGACATGACATTCAGGGTGGTAAAGACATACGACCAATTGACTCGGTCATACGCCTTCTTCAAATCCAACAGTAGCACTACAAAATCCAATTGACCATTCTGAATTATTTCTAAGCTTTCAAT